CCGGAGGGCGGGGGCCGGGCGCTGCCGGCGGAGCCATGCGGACCAGCCGCGGGGAAGGCGGCCGCGCCGGGAGCTGAGCGGCGGAGGAGAGCCCGGGGCGCTGGGATGCGTCTTCCCCCAGCCTCGGCCGCCACTGGGGATTGCAGCGCCCGGCTCTGCGCCTCGCCGCGATGGCTCGCTTCGGAGAGGAGCTGCCCAGCCGCTATGGAGGCGGAGGTCCGGCCGGGGCCGGCCGGGGCAGCAGCCGGCAAGGCGGCCCCCAGCCCGGCCAGAGGGTATACAAGCAGTCCATGGCTCAGCGAGCCCGGACCATGGCTCTCTACAACCCCATCCCCGTCAAGCAGAACTGCTTCACCGTCAACAGATCCCTCTTCATCTTCAGCGAAGATAACGTTATACGGAAATATGCCAAGCGAATAACGGAGTGGCCATATCCTTTCCCGGGGGTCCGTGGCGGCCAGGACGGGCCCGCCTGGGTGCCCGGGTGGTGAGCGAGGGTGTGCCCCGGTGTGCGTGCGTGCGGGAGTGTGTGTGCGGGGATGGTGCAGCTCCAGGGATGGGCGGAGATGGCTCTGCGCGTGTGGGGAAATATAACCCTGCGGTTCTCCACGACCGGGGTGCGTGTGTCCTGTAATGTGCGTGTGTGCGAAATGACAGGCATTTCCCTCTGTGGGTGTGGGTGTGCGCGCATCCAGAGATGCGTACGCCTACAGCAGGCGAGCGCCTGTGTTTGTATTTCGTGCCGTTGAATCCGAGAGGACACCCGGGGTAAATCGCGGCTCTTATGTACAGAGCGTAACCTTTCCGCTCCTCCGAGGGGGAGAGAAAATGTGGGGTAAAATGGTGACACGTTGGCAGGCAAGCTGCATTAGTCCGGGGACACCAGCCGTCTCAAGGTACCCTTACTGACATCTCCATACACAGTTGTTGCAGCCTGTGTGTGTGTGTTTTATTTTCAATACACCGCCTTGCCCATACTGCTTCACGTAGAATTGACAGTAGCCCTTGTCATTTTGAATTGGGTACCACAAACACCCTTGGTCAGGAGAGCTGAAACGGGGTAGTGCCTTTATATATATCTATATCTATATCTATAGAGATATATATATATATATATATTGTGGGGGGAGAGTGAGGCAGTAAATGAAGAGAAGGGCCATCATTGTGTTGTGAAAGGGGCAGATGCTTTTAATCTCAGAACCAGCTCCCTGGCCAAGTGATCTGCAGAGATCTGCCTCTGAAGGGGACTCTGCTTCGGTGGTGATGCATGCAGCAGGGATCCAAAACCTTGGCAAAGGGAGCCAGGTTCTTCCTCTAAGATTAGTGGGAGGTTGCCAGGGTGTGTGTGTGCGTGTATTGGATAATGTGCACCAGCAGGAGTACGTTGCACTGGGGATCTCAGGGGAGCTTGTTGTTTTCTTTTCATTTGAAATCACACACGCCTATTAATCCTCGGCTAACAGCAGCAAGGCCTCTTCACAGCCTCCTAGCAACATTTCCAACTGCCACT